CCTGGAACCCCCAGAGCTGCTTTCTCATACTAGGGGTGCCAGTTTCTATTGGGGCCATGCAGTGTTGTAGAAGCAAAAAAGCTCTCTTTGTTGTCAGGTGGTGCTTGAGGAATCTCCAGTTATGGAGAATGCATCTTAATGGGGATTTCAGCAGGACAGATTGCCTGCTGTTACCCCTACCGAGGAGCTCTTATTTCTAGTCTGTTTCCAGCTCCTCAATGACCTCGTCCTAGTGTTGGTGGAGATGCAGACCCCACGAGACCTGGCCCACGCCACGTTGTCTGGGCGCTCCAACTGAAACATGAACCGATCTTCATGGAGGCTTGGAGGAGCAATGCTGTCTAAGAGGGGCTTAGTCATAAGACCCCCTCTTAAGTCAGTGACTAGACATCCCCAGACCTGCTCTGGGGCTGCAGGAGGTACTTGACGTAGGTGGGTGCTTTCCGAGAGCAGCCCCTGGAGGTAGGGTGAGGGGGGCATAGGGAATAAGGATCCTCTAGTCAGATAAATTGCCCAGAGAGCCTCTCTGACAGTCAAAGGGCTTGTCCCTGCTCCATTACAGGTAATTGGGCAGGGAGGCCAACAGCCCGCTTGGCATGTGCCCAGTTCTCCATATTCTCAGCTACAAGGGCGCAAGGACTTTGGATGACATAAGGGCCCTGGCCAGGCAAAGAGATCTTCCTGAAATCTGGCAAAAACAAGATTTTTAAGGGGCTCATGTCTCAGAGGAGGGATCCCTAGGGACCTGTGGTGGAGGGTCGTCAGGGAGACCTATCTGACAGACCTGCCCTGGCCTGGGAAGGCAAGTTTGGGTAAGGCAGACCAACAAAAGAGATGTGCCCTTGGATCTCTGACTGCACCCTACAGATGGGGATGCTGCAGGTGTTGGGGCTGTGAGCACTTTACAGTGTGCCTCACACAGACATGTGTTTCCAGTTGGCAGGGGGCCCAGTGCTCATCTGCCCTATCCATGACCGACTTTTCCTATCACAGGAGTCTTCAAGTGGTGAGCACCCCATTGCCTTTAAGTGTTAGGGCAAGGCTATCCAAGGGCAGCGGGACAAACAAGCCTACACAGGGCAGAGATGGAAGCTTCACTTATATCAAGAACTGACTAATACTCTTGACACACACAGGGAACAAAGAGATGTCCCTATTGTGTGATGGCCTCTGGAGGGCTTCCTGTCCAGTCCAGTCCCCTTTGCAGGGAACTGGTCCAACCAGATGGTCAACTGTCCAGTCTCACCCACCACTAGGGGATTGGTTCAATTTAGACAGCTAGTCACCCTGTCCAGTCCTCTACACAGAGGTCTGGCTCCAATCAGACGTCCAAGATCCTGTCCCTTAACCAGCCAACCCCTACAAGCAACCTCGGCTTTACTGGGTGAAGTGGGATCTGTGCCCCCTGCGTCACAGACCCCAGGACACCACCCCAACCTACAGTCCTTGCCATAGAAACGCCGGGGAGGGGTCTTTATCTGGGGAGCCTGCCACCTCACCCTTGGCTGCTTTTTCACCTCAGACTGAGTTCAGTGGCCTTTGCTGGCCCATAGGCTAAGGACTGGGGAAAACTGCTTAGTTATTCGGCTGGCTTTTGTCAACTCTAGGGCAGCGAGCAAAGCTT